TTGCCTTCATTTGCCGTCAGGCTTGGCGACATTAATGCGACAAAGGGCCCAATCTTGGGCATCATGACACCTCCTTTGTCGCCAGGGAACAGGCCAATGCCCAGGACTTGCCCCCGCTGCCTCCGCTGAACTTCGACGGGGAGGAGCTGGGAGTGCAGCACAAGAAGGATCGGAGAATTGTTGTTATAAACATTAAATTTTCGATGTTGTGGGGTTATCCAGTCCTTCCATTGTTGATGTTAATGCGGCCTCTTGATGGCAAATTGCATGGACTCACCCTCGACAGCTGAGCATCACCAGGAATTGCCTGAACTGCCTCCACTGAACTTACAAAGCGACGAGGAGAGTGGGGGTGAAGAGAGGGCTATGGACAGTCCGGCATTTGGACATGGGTGTAGTTCAATCGGGAGACCCCCCGGGCCTGGTTTTTGTTTGTTTCCCTTCTTCCAGGGGGTCTTTGGGAGATTTCCCTAGTTTAATAGCACACCCATAGACGAACATACTCATACAGCCTATGAAGAGCCCATGTTCTGATAGCCCATGAAGAGCTTTGCAGTTGATCTTCAGAGTTCTCGCCCGGCGACATGGCCCTACCCAGACACTCCATGTATGGAATACAGTATATACATATATGTGTGTGTAGCATATAAACACATATTCATTGACCCCTGAAACCACCCCAATGTAACCAATGTAGCTATATATGCCATACATGGCGTATTTATATAGGTTAGGAATTGCCACAGGGACGAGTGACCTTGGAAGCCAGATGTTGATGCTGCCTCTTGATTTCAACTTGCAGGAATTGGAACTGGACAATGAAGAGCAGAAAAACAGGAAGGAGGTGGAGCAGTTTGCAATTGGGCGGCCGGTTGAGCAACCGCCAGTTGAAATGACCGGCCGGTCATTTCTTAATAGGACACCCTCAGAGGTGTCTATCAACAGCGATCATCAACACAATAGTAGCCCCTTCGAGGTGATTTGGGGTGTCCCTGGTCGTTGTCGACCTCCTCGCTCCGCCGACCCGTTCCATCCCGTTCCGCCTTCGACGGTCCCGTCGGCGCGGAACGTCCGTTCCGTGGCAGGCGGAGCGTCGGGAGAAGTTGCGGTTCTTGGGCCCCACGGCCCGCGTCTGGGCGCTGGACCCAGCGCGACCAGTGCCGCGGGAGCCGGGAGATGGGTGGGGCCGGGAGACGGGTGGGAGCCCAAATGGGAGAAGGTCCAAAGAGAGGAGGGATCGAGAAAACAAGTCGCCATGTATATGAAGAACAATCTTTATCATGTGAGACTTCTGGGGCGGTAAGGGACGACACCAATCTACAAACAGACACGGGACAAAGATCTGCAGTGGAGAAGCGGGGCCGTTGATCCGACCTAACTTAAAATTGTTCATACATGATATGAACAAAGTCATGACTCACGATGTGCTCGTTCTGGTGCCCAATGTTACTCTTGTTTTGGACTCCAACGACCTGGGGTCATGCTTTGGTGGATCATCCCCTGTTTTGTATTCAGATTTCATGGTCTAAAACCAGGGTCCATGCCACATAACCATGAGGATGTTGGAGGGAGGGCATGTCCTTCTCAACTCTGAACTCAGCCTTCGCCCCTCCAGGAGTTCTACATGCTTCAACGCAAAGACGAGGAACCTCGGCCTTTGGCCTGGGAGGAGGCACCATCGGTCGGCTCCGAAGCGACCGACGGGGTTAAAGGCGGAGGCTTTTCCCGGAGCGTCAAGCCCGGAAATCATTGAAATACACTCTGAACACATGAGCCGAAAGGAAGTGGATTTCCATGGATTTCTTGGCACCGAAGGCGACTTTCCTTTACGAACAGGGGATGCCATCCACTTGCATGTTAGTGAGTGCAAGATGTGCAAGAATCAGACTTTGGACGCTGGCATTAAATCTCACAAAAGTCACAGCAGTTTTGGATGGCAGAAGCCTGGATAGTGACCCTACCCAACATTCACCGGGGATACTCACAATATACCAACAGTTTTGGATGGCAGATACCGGTTGATGATGGAAAACCGCAGCCCAAGCAGATAAGTCACCGGTATGATGGCAGAGGCCTTGTCGTGAGTTTTCGCGCGGCCTTGTCGATTGATAGGCCTTTTTGCCCCATGCAGAGAGAGAGAGAGAGAGTGGGCAAGGAGCGCTCATTCGCGGGGGGTCGTCGAATGAAGCAATCACCCCGCCCCTACCAGGGTGTAAAGACCCAGTAAAACTTGGTTATAAAAAGGCATAAAGACCTCATCATAAGTGGTCCTTTTTGAAGAAACTGCATGAAAAATGAGGTCTTTGACCTGTGGGGTGCCACACGCGTCGATCGCCAGGCCCGGATTGACTTCTTACCGCTGGGTGAGACGGTGCGTGGTGTGGTGGAAGAGATCAGGCGAGATCGGCGGGGTTGGTGGCCAAAAGACTTGGATCTCGGAGGCCATCGCTCCGCTCCCAGATCTTCGGATCTCGGAGGCCATTCGCACTGCCTCAGGTCTTAGAGGTGAGACGTGTCACACATTCCGGTCGCCGACGAATGTGCGCCATGCAGTATGGGCCAAGTCTGAGAGATTTGCATGAGTCTCTGAACTAAGTTGGCGTGGGTGTTCTGATTGTGTTCTGCTAGGCCCTATGGTAGCTTCATTGGCAGCTTGTCCTGGGCTGGGATTGAGCAGTCCGGCTTGGGCATGAGAGTGGGGCAATGTGCATGTTTGTGCAAGAAGAGATCAAAGAGCTCTTCAATGTGAAGCAAGAGAGTGTGAATCTGTTTCTGTATTGTATATAGGTAGAGTCTTCTTATGCTTATCCATGTTTAGTTCAAATCTATTGATGGTGAACTATGTGCAATTGGAGATTTGAATCATTCCATGGCATATGGAACAGCCCTTCAAGGATCCGGGGCAGGCACTGCACTGCAACCCTTTCACATGTTCAAAGCAACCCAGCAGACCCAGTAGCAGACCCCATGGCGATCTCCAACCCCAAAGAAGATAGGTTCCACTCGGCTTCCCCCCTCAAAGCCTTTTCAATCAGAAGGCAGGGCGGCTTCATTGTTTTTGAGCCTTCCTTCCCCCTTCAAAAAACACGGCCGGCTGTTTCCGACCGTTTGAAACGTCGCGGGACGTGTGATCCGGCGGTTGAGGCCTGGTGATGTGTGGCATGGAGGAACACGGCGGCCCTTCACTTCAGCGTCCCCTCCGCTTTGGCGAGGCGCGGGGGCTGGAGGCGAAGGTACCCTGAGGTGGGCTGAGGTGGAGGAGGTTCCTGATCGAAGGATTCGGGCATATCAGTTGAACATTTCTGAAGTTGAAATCCAATCAAGTATATAAGTTGTTACAATCAAGTAGACCACAGGATGAGCCCGAGCAAATTAGGTCAGCTTTCAGTCAGAGGGACCATCATGGGAAAACCACTGGGATCGAATTCCCAAGTAAACCACTGGAACCCTAAAGGCATGCTGTTGAGTTGCGCTCTACGGTGTGAAGAGCTGTTTGATTTTGCTGCGGGTCGCACCTTGACTGCTCCACGATCTTCCGGATCCCACCACCTGGTGTGGATCGATCTCCCGCGGGAGCCGCGCCCGCCAGGACTCTGGAATTCGTTGCTTTTGCGAAGAGTTGCAGGTCTCAAATGACCGAGCCCAACTCCAGGTGAGCTACGACTCGAAGCGAAATCGCGTTCCTCGCAGCACGCGAGGCGTCTTGGCGTCCGGTGTCGCTTGCAGTGCATACCTAGACCGACCATCCATGTATGGAATAGTTAAAGTAATACTATTCTGCACATGGATGGTTTGGGTCACCATACTGGATAGAGTGGCATTGCCAAATTGCCAGAGCACGCCCAATACCATCCAATACCATGCCCAATGCCATTTGCTTCCTTTTTTATTCGGTTTTTTGGAGTTTGGGTTGTGTTTTGCCCTGTGACGTTTGGCCGCAGGCAACACAACATCCACGCCCGGCCTACAGTCCAACCCCCCCCACTGCCCACCCTCAAATCAAACAGTGGATGCCACAGACGATGTGTGCAAGTGTGTGCCAACACTACTATATTAGCAACGAAACTAGTTGCACTACGATTTCACACTACTATTGCTATCTATTGCTACTATCCTCATCACACCAAACATGCGAAGAATTGGTCGTCCAGCCACAGTGGTCAACTCAACCTAGCCAAGGGCCGTGTTGAGGGGCCCTCCGTTGCGGAGCGCCGGTTGACCGCCTTTTGCGGCCGCCCAGCGACAAGCGGCTCGTGGCCGTCTCACGTGTCACGGGCCAGGGCTCGAAAGCAAGGAATTCCAAGAATGATGTGTAGAGTATACCTACCACGACCCTCCAAGGGGTGTGAACAACCCCACACTACCTATACCTAGATCTTCGTATGCACTTTTCCAAAGAAGTTGCCCTTGAAAACAACTTACAAGCTGCGGCGTTCTCTTTTTCGTCCACCGGGTGGATCTAGCGGAAGCGCGCCACGGACGGTCAACTGGCGCCGCGCCAGCAACACGCGACGTCGCTGCGGGTCGACGACGACCGACCAGGTGGGAGAACAAGTGGCCGTGAAGATCCTCCAAGTGGACCAGCAGACCAAGAGGGTGTTCGGTTCGATCCGCCAGGCAGGTGTGAAAACCAACCATGCGGAGAGAGGGAGAGAGAGTTCTTCCCGTTTTTCCGTCATGCTCCAGAGAGGTTTTCTTGGAGTGCAGGGAGATGGGGTGGGACCATAGCAGACCTTATAGTGCAGAACATTGCAGAACTATAACTGGAATTTAGATGATTTCATATGATTTCACTAATTGTATCTAATTGTTCGTAAGACGTCTTGAAACAATTTTGTCGCAGTGTGTTTGATAAATCAAGCAACAAGCGACGTGTGGTATGATACAGGACTGGATTGACTTGATGTCTTCTTTAACCTCTACCTGGTACCTGGAACTTCAACACAATTAGCCAGAACCAGTTTCTTAATCACACTTGGAGCCACCACTGGCAGAGAGAAACCCGAGAAACATGCAGCTGTCAGATCTGGGGTGCGTGAGATGACCAGTTTTCCTTGGTCTTTTCAACCCAGAAAAGCTTCATTGCTGTTTGACAGTCAGGCAGAGCCTCCTTGGCCGCCGCCTAGAGAACCTGTCCTTCATTCGCGCCTCGGATGCTGGAGTATGGATTGGAAAAGGTCGCCCCCTTCAACGAGGGGCTGGATGTCATTTCCATCTCGCGACTGATGTCATGGTTCTTGCAAGCTTGTTTGAAGCGCTACTCCGAGCAGTGACCTCCAGCACCACAGGGCCCAAAATGGATGCAACGTGTGCACGCTTCACCTGGCACACTTCGTTGGTTGAGTGCCTTGGGCACATGGATGGTGGATGCAACGTTAAAGCTGCGGAAGTCTCATCAACATGAATGGACACATATTGACACCATTCTGATGGGGTTGAGCTGTCAGAATGGGGCACGTATGCTTGACCTTTCACCTGGTGCCTGTTGACATGTCTCATTGTTGGCTTATACTTTCCTCACAACCACCCATTCGTCGAAATCCTGATGCAGCACCAAACCAAGGCCTGAGAAGTATGAGGATGAAAACTTTAAGCCATGCTGAGCGAGAGGAAAAAGGATTGTAAATATTACTGCATATAGAGTAATATAATGAATATGCATTATATATACTCCCCTGCTGATTAACATTGACCCCCCAAACTATTGGGTTTTCAAGGAAAATAGTTTTCCACAGGTCAATTCTCGGGTTCTACGTTAGTTTGTGGGGGAGTATATGTGTATATATACATATACGCGTATATATCATTGGGTGTGGCCCACTACCTGTAACATCCTGCAACTCGCTCTTTTTAAAGATGAGCAAGGCCTTGACTGACCACCATCCTTTGTTACGGGGAGATGGGATATACCCAACATTTGAATATGTTTAAATACACCGTGGAAGACTACCTTGGACCCTGAAAACCACTGCCTGGTAGAGGAAAACAATCTTCCAGGCGGGCGAAGACGTCAGAGTCCACGTGAGTTTTTGGGAGTGTAACAATAACAGAAATAACCATCCCGATCACCAAAGACTTGTTGACCCACTAGTCCGGAACCTCAGAGCTCTTGAGCGCTCACTGTCCGAAAGACCTCACTCCAAGAAAGGCCGAGAATAGGGGGAACTTCAGCCAAGCTATGTTGAAGTCATTCCCATTCATTCCCAAACCAGGTCAGTTTGAGCTCAATTTACTGGAGCTGGTCATGCAAAAGCACTACTGAACCACGTTTTACTGGGCGTTTGGACCTAGGAATTGAAGTTAATCGCATGCAAACCAGGGAACTGGGGAACACGTGCAGCTTCTCTTGCCACGGGCATGAGCAGGCAAGATGGCTCATGGACGGCTTAGGCTAGTGGAACCTTCCCAGCCCCCACAACTCCAGACTGACCCAGTATTAACCTAGTCTCCTCCTCCTTGAGTATTGGTTTTGTGTGACCATCTCCAGTAAAATGAAGTCTTTGACTTGTAGGGAGCCTTTGTAATGAGAAGTTGTTGAAAGATTGATTCGTGCTTTGTTGGATTTTGCTGGTAATGGAGTGGTTGCTGTGGGTTGGATTTCAGTCGAATCAGAGTGTTGAATGGTTTTGAGACGCATGATTCATGTTGAATCGCACCATACTTCCAGGAATCTCAAGCCGAAATCCCCATCACTGACTTGGTAGGGTTGGCATTTGGGGATGGGTCAAAACCTGTAGGCTCAGCCCACCATGTAGCTTGACCTTCCAGGTGGCTCCAGCAAGGTTTCCTGGTCAAAACCCCGCCATATTCGAGATGGACCACCTCCGAGGCGAGCAGCTCGGTCTAGGTCAACGACCGGAGACGAGGTGATCGAATGGCTTCCGCATGAGGCCTTTGGCTCGGAGAAGGTCGGCTCCATGCGAACAACATGGAGCGACCAACATCGTGTGGGCGCAGATGGCGCCCATCATGTGGCGGAGAACTGGCAATCAAGCTCAGCCGCGGATTTATGCAGAAAGCAAACGGGTCATCCTCAGGACAAGGAACCAAAGCCAAGTCGATTCAGGCAATTGTGCAATATTGTGCAAACATGTTGCCAAGCCCCCTGGCGACCAGAAAGGACAGCTCACCCATCTAACCATATTTAATCAAGACCAAAGTCGCAACACTTATGCAGTTGCAAGTCTTATTCTAACAATCTGCTAATATCCTCCAATGCTTCTTCTCTTTTGCACTAATTTGGCACCCCACCTTCTCCCACCCTCCAATTCAGACCAACCCGCGGCACCGCATGCATCCCAACCCTCCTCCTCCGCCTGCATGCATCCCGTGATGCGCCATGCCTTCACTCCACTGCCCCGCGCGACCACGACCGCGGCGCGCGGCGCGCTGTCCGGCGCCCCGCGCGGCGCAGAAGCGCCGGCGCAGCAGGTGCCGTTGCTGCGCTGCGTGGCGTTGGCGGGTGGCTCGGTGCGGGCGGCGCGGCGGCTCGTGGCACAAAAGCGGGTGGCTTGGAGGAACAGAGGTGAAGCGTAGCAAGGACGCAACTAGTAGCTATAAGTGCATCGCTACTAGTAACCAGGTAACCAGTGCATTGCTACTAGTAGCGAGAAAGGGGGTTGGGTGGGGTGGAAGTGGGTGAGAGGCAATCCTCCAACAATCATGGAAGCTGACCGGGACTCTAAGAGAAAAATGGCCTCCGAGTGGTCCACGTTCCAGTTCCATGATCGTTTCAGGGAGTGTAAGCACCAATCCTATCCACCTATTAAAAACAGCGCGGCCCCCCTATTAAGATAAACTCGGTCGCATTTTTTTTATAGGGGTCCCTGAAATCGTGGGGGTCCAAAACAGGGTCACCTGGGAAGAGCTTCAAAACCAAAAGTCCTCCAGACTCCAGATGTTGTTTTGTATAACATCCTTTATTTAACTCGTAATTATCAACAATTCAAGAAACCTCCAGATCGAAGGGTCTTCCTTCTCCCCTACAAAAACCTGTATTAGAATACTGATTCTTCATTAGACTAACAACCAAAGCTTTCGAAAGGTGATGTCGCTGTGCCAGGCGGTTTTGCACGACCTCGGTGGCAAGTGCGTTTGTGTGAGTCCGTGCCATTGGAGGAAGGAAAACCTGCTGGTGTAAACGCGGCGTGCCATGGTGGATGCACAAGGCGGACAGATGTGGGCAGTTACGGTTGTTTTTGGAACCTAATACAAGAAACTGCCCCCAAAATCGGCCATGTTGGTAGTTTAGTAGCGGCTTGAAAGGGCGGCAATTATAAACCGAATTTAGGGTTTCGGACGTGGTGTTAATTTCAACTGCAGAGGTTTTTTCATATGTACTCGGGATTACTTAATTAATTGAGTTCGTTTGTGTGTTCTGCGCCCCGGCACAAAATGAGACGAGGTGTACATCAATGGGCGGCGTGCTGATGATGAGACTTTGTTGGTGGACAATGCCGACGTTGTGACCATCCTCAAAATCTCCAAGGGCAGTGCGGTGCATGTTCCTACACCTCCCAGGCTGCCAGGGCCATCTCTTCTGACAGCCCGGTTGGCTGTTGGTTTTTATACAGATCACACGATGTTCAGGCGTTTGGTAGTCGTCTTGGCAAGCCTTGCCATCCGACCCTTCGCACAAGACGTGAGTTTCAATCTTTTTTTGGGGCCAGGCCTCTTCACATGCAGGTCTCAAGTGAATTCTGAACTTGAACAGTCCAAGTGCTTGCAATTTGTGTGACAGGTGTGAGTACTACATGAAGCTTGGATTTGCTGAATGAACAATTTTTGGTGTTGGTTGAGAAGCCATTCAAAAGCGATCGAAGTTAGTTGACACCCCTCAAGAGCCGGTGAGTATTGAAGGATATCTCCCATGACCACGGGTTTGCTTCAGTGACATCCCGCAATTTCTTTGGATTGTTCCAGGTTTGAACCTGGAGAAGGTTTTGCCACAGATTCCCAGATGCCGATCAGATCCTGCTGATCTGTTCCTGTTCAGCTGTTCAACTTCCGCTGTTTGTCTCCCCAACCCTTGACTTCTGTTGTTGTGTTTCTTCTTCCCGATTTGCAAATCGATTTCTGCCCTTCAGGAAGCTCTACAAGCCCTATGGTGTCCTTTGCTCCCAGGTCCGCGACCGCGCGGATGCCCAACTAGTGGCGGACTTCTACCCCACTGGCGCGGAGCAGACCTGCCACAACGTGGGGCGATTGGACCTGCGCAGCGCCATGGCGGAAAAGCGCAGAACAAGGAGCAGTGCCAGTTCGGAACGTCAAGGGATGAAGCAAACAATGACACATATCTTCGGTTTCTTCATTTTGTGGTCTGCTTTTAAAACTTGTCTTCTAGTTTCTTCCGTTGGTGGCCTGTTTTTCTTGGGGGGGATCCCCAGAAGCGTTTCTTGTGACTAAAGCGGGGAGGAGTTGGTTCGGGTCACGAGGAACTCGTGCGGCGTTTGAGGGGTTCCCAACTCCGGTGAGTGCTTGGTGGCCTTGTTCCACATGGTTCCACCATAAACTTGCAATCCTGCGGAGACCTGCAGTGCCAGTTTACGATGGGCAGAAAACATCATCGTGTTGACCCAATTGGCCCATGTTGACGTGTGTCTTAAGGTCTTGTCTATGGTATATTTATAATATAGTATACCTCTTCTGATGTACTGATGTACCATGTATACCTGCACTTTTCTGGCAGCGTCACCCATTCCTTGTCCCAGCTTGTTCTAATCCTTGCGTTAATATTTAAGGGCTGCCGCCCCTGCCGCCGACCCCGGGACTCATCAAGGA